AGGAAGACAGAACGGTATACATCCACGCGTGAAGGCGTATTTATATATACGTCGATGCAGAGACGCCCATAGCCATGCTCAGCGTACGGTGGAAAAGAAGGGAAAAAAGAAATGGTAAAAGAAGAAACTAGGGACAAAAAAAATGCTCGTTAAACCAGTTTAAGAGCACCCCTCGCATGACGCAGCGTATGTCATTCCTCTCCTGCGCCCCCACCTTAAAGCCACTGCCTCAACCTCCTCCCCCCACGTCCCGCACGCTCACGCCTCGCGTTTTCTCTATTTTCTCTCTCTTTCTCCCTCGCTCACTCCTTCACAGTATGCACCACACACAATTAGTTGTGTTTGGACGGGGCTGACAACTCCAACAAAATCAAAGGGAAAAAAATAAATACAAACATAGCCGTCAAAGATGAAGGAAAGGAGGGAACAGGGGGGGGGGAGGAAGAGGCTACGGCACATACTTGCATCTCGTTATTCGCTCACTCATACGGAGAACGAGAGGCAGTGGGGGTGAGACAGACACGCAGACGGCGTTTGTCTGTTTGTGAAAGCATACATCCCTGCAACGACAAGGTTTGGAGTATCGGTGCATGAAACCGAATTGTGGGCCGCCGCCACCGCCACACCCCTCGCTGCCTCCTCGACTGAGGCCTCTCTGCGCCGCCTCATGGCGTGGAATAACCCCTCGCTGTTATATATATATATATATATAACGCATCCGTTCTTTTTTTTTTCCTTTGCTGCTTCTCACCATTCTGCAGCTGCTTCGCCGCGTATACGCGCGATCGCCACCCCCCCCCCCCCCTGGCAACTGCCGGCCCCCGTTTTACACCCTTAGCCTCTGCGAAAAAAAAAAAAAAGATAAGTGCCTACCAGAAAAACATTTATTTTCTTGCTTCTTTTTAATTGAGTGATGGGTTGTGGTTCGGCCCTGCATGTTAGTCCGTTGTGTGGCCTACAACTCCGGTTACATGCTTGCCCCGCAGCGACACGGCTCGGCGATCGATGCGGCATTGCCGCGCCAATCCTATGAGTGGTGCCGACTCCCCTTGTTTCGCTTACGCATCCCGAATCCGCAGGCCCATTTCCCCAAACGCACACACACAACTAAAAACAGTTGCACTGTTGAGGAAAGGAAGCCATGGACCTCCCAGAAGGATTCGTTTTGGAAAGCCCGCTTTGTTCCGCTGTGGACTGGGCCGTGTGATGCCGCAGCTGCCCTGTTTGAGACTGATTAGGCGCCATGCCCTTACGGTGACAAAGTGATAGATACAGATAACGAAAAAAAAGTAGATAGCGAGGCAAACCGAGTGAGGTAGGGTACTCCCCTGTCGCGCTCGGTGTTGGTGTACCGCCAGCTCTCAGGAGACGCCGCATGGATTCCAGTGGTGGCACTGACGGTCCTCCTTGGAGACACGCACCGACGAGAAGGGGTTGGGCAAAGACGACTGAGACGACCCCCTCGAAGGGCTCTTCGGCATGTCATACCGCGGTGTCTCACCCCTTTCCTCGTCGCCCTGGGACGGGCTCATGCTGTTCTCGCGGGTGCCAAGGGGCCGCGCTGTCCGTATCTATGCGTTAGTAGGGTTGACATCCTCCACACTCAGCGTATTCCCCGGCAGCGGTGGTGTGACAAAAGTTCTTGTCTCGCCTCTGCTCCGCAACCTCCCACCGAAGCTGAGGGGAAAGGGACCGTCGAAGCTGCCCTGCAAAACACGGCCGTCATCACTGGGAGCGCATACTATGGCCCATCAAAGGGGCCCTTTCCAATGGAAAACGACGCAGTTCCGGGGTTTGTCATAGTAGGTGGCATTTAGCATGTGGAAGGCGCCCGGGGTGTCGCGAAGAAACCCGTAGATGAATGCATGACGGCCAACAGATTCCCAGAGAGTGGTGTCAATGGGACTCGAAACGGTTCCCGCAAAGACGCTGCCGCGAAATGTCCTAAAAAAGTATCCCACCTTTGGCGCAGTAAGAATTTCACTCCAGCCATACATGCTTATTACTTGATACGGACATGGAGTCCTCCCGGTCCCAGACATTACTATCTGGGCATGGTGAGTACCCCGGTTGCTCCCGATACATGCAGAATCGGTACAAGCAAGCGTGACTGTGTCCCTGAAATGCATTCGGGCTGGTGTTGACACTGGTGACGTAGGAGTTCGGTGCCTGCTCCCCTGCAAGAGGCCCAAATACATCCCCAATGTTTTATACCGCCAGAAACGGGGACTCCCACGCGTTCGTAGCTGCATTCGCACCACCACCACCAACAGTCGCTGCAGAAAACGCCGGCCCACCAGCCATGGCTAGAGCCCTGTGCCTCTTTATGAGCACGTTAGGTGTAAACGGCATCGTGTGGGGCAACCGGCAACCTCACGCAAACTATTTTCCCGACCCTGGATCCGAGACCACCTCGGTGGGATTGTTTGTCACGGCACCGCTGCCTGTCTTTTGGGATGCAGCATCCGCCCTTGGCAGCGGCGCAGTCGGGGAGGCGCCATTCTTTTTCTTCCCGGCTGCCTGCTTCGCTGATAACAGGGCGGCCGATGCGCCCCTCTCTGCCTCCACGGTGAAGCCGTCCGCACCACCGTTCCGCATCGCAATGCAGTGCAAGTAGGAGTAGCCGTCGTGTTTGATGTGCCACGGTCGAAAGCGGCCCAGACGCAGAAAGCCGCCTACAGCCTTCGTTGGGTTGGGGCTTGCTGGGGAGCGGTACAGCAGCCAGCGGGCGTCCAGGTCCTTCGCTTCACTGGCCTCTCCAGTGACACGCCGCATCCACGGCAGAGCCACGTCCTCCGCAGGCAGTGTGGAGTCCACGTACCAGCACCCCGCCGCACGGTCGCATCGAATCAAGTCGCCAAATGCCACCAGTGCGTCGGGAACCTTCAGCACTGACGCGGGGCCCAGTTTTTAAACGCCCTGCCGCCACCACTTAAGTTCGACAGGCTTGCGCCCATCCCGCCCCCGGCGGACGCCTGGTTAAAGGCAGAGGACAGGAAAAGCAAAAGCGGGGCTCCGTCAAATCCTCGGCCCACAGAGACGACATCATGCGCATGAACAGAACCGCACTGTAGCAGAGGGCCCGCACATGCCTCTGGTTCACTGCGGGGGATCTTACCCGGCACGGTGGGAATCCGGCGCGAGTTCGCGTTGGGTGAGCGCAGTTCCCTGCGGAAGACCAAGGGTGGGGGCATGCGTGAGGCAAGGGCTATCATCAGCGTCTCCGCTGTTTCACTTAAGAGAATGCCCCAGAGCTTTTGAAGCGCCCCAACCACCTTTGCGTTGGAAAGGCGCGATACCGCAGCTCCATCTGAGGAGTAGCTGTGAACACCCCTCTCCTGCAGTATCTCCAGCGGCGGTGTATGCAACACTCTCGTTGCCCTCATGGGCTCAGCGGTGGGAGCGAATCAGGGTTGCACGCTCCCCACCGGTACCATGAGAAGCTGTGGTGTGTATATGTTTTGCCCCACACCAACCGAGACGCTTGGGGATGAAAACGTGAAGCTGCAGCTTGTCGATTTCGATGCCGCTAACCCGCTTGACTCCCATGCGGTGGTTGATCGTTGCGCTTTCATTGCAGTACAAGCACGTTGGCCACCGTGGGCACATCCTGCGCCATATCCTCCAGCTTATCCATGAAAAGGTGGACCTGGCGGCACAGCTACAGCTGTGGGACGTTGAATAGCTGTAGGACAAAGTCCAGATCAAGCTGCACAGCAGCGGCAGTGAAGACGGCAGTAACCTCTCCTCCAAATCCCCTCCAAATATCCACCGTGTTGCGGTTGCGGCTGTGGCTGCGGCTGTGGTTCCGCTCCGCTCAGAAAAAGCGGGGAGAGTTCCATCATTGCGCTTGCAAACGCCCTGCAGGCGGTCATCCACACATATGGCTGCTCACACTCGCCAATGTCGCGCTCCACGCACCCCGTGACCACCAGGGTGCCCCCTCTAAGATCAAAAGGCCCCACCTGAGCAGGCAGGGAAGACAAGAGTGAGTTCGGCGACGTGGAGGCAGATGCTTCTCCGTCTGGCGCGTGGCTAAGCAACCTGACCACCGTCCAGCAGCCGTAAAATCCACCCACGCGCGCACTCAGTTTCACACCATTTACCTCCCACACAAGCTACGACCTGCCGTCCTTGTCCACCACCACCAACGCTGTCGTGTCCTCTTTTCCTGGCGTCGCATCCGCCTCCCACACGGTCTTCGCTAAGCTAAAGGAAGCACGACTTTCCCTTAGCACCTCAGTGACACAGGTGTGGTAGCGCAGCAGCAGGATGACGCACAGCACAGGGCTCACACGTCGTTCCTGCTGTGGATTTCCATTGCAACCGCTGTTAGGAGGGCAGCCATCCCCAACACCGCCTCCGGTGGTGCCGTTCAGTGTGCTGCTACTCCCTACTCCCACCCTCCAACTCCGTCCTCAGTGCGGCGTTAAAGGCACTCGCGCCATCCAAGAGGTTCCCCTCAGTGGTCTCTACTAGCAGCTTGTACAGTGTGCGGGGTGCGCTAAAGAGCCCCAAAGGTGCTGAGACGGTCTCTTTGTGCCCCTCCACCTCCGCCTCCGCCGACACTCGCACCTCGCGCCCGCCCTGCTCCAATTCAAAGCACTGCATCGTGGGGTCGAGGCAGACTGTGGGTGGCAGGCGTTGCGTGCAGTGGAAGTGGTAGCGCAGGTGCTGCCGCGCCCCTGCATCCAGCAGCTGTTGAAAGAGGACACTACCTGGTGCAAAAAAGTAGCGCTTGATGAGTGGTACCAGACGCAGCTGGCAGCGCACTGCGGATGAAAAGCCCAGCGGTGGCGCGCCCGCCGGCGGGTCGTTGGCAGCAGCGATGTTCTGCGGCTGCAAGTCCGGGGGGGTAATGAACCACAGCGGGGCGTCCTCCCCATTCTCCATGTAGAGCGCCTGCCGCAGGGAGGCTAGTCCCACTAAACAGAGTGGAGCCGCAGAAAAGGCACACGGGCAGAGTAAGAGAAAGAGTTATACCGCCACATATATATAAATGGTTGCGAGTGTCACAAGGAAAAAGCCGGCACTGCTGGCTGCAGCGTCTACAGCTCTCTCTCGCCTTGCTCCCTGTGTCTCCCGTTACATGTTGTTTTGCCACCTGCGCTTCAGTTCAGCAACGAGTCAAGAAGGAATAAAGGGAGAAAAGTAAAAAACAGTTCTGCAACGATGCCGCATCCCGTCTGCAAAAATAAGACGGGCGGGAAAAGAAATACACACACATAGAAGTGAAAGAAAAAAAGGAGGGGCAGTCGAGTCCCACGCCTGGCGCAGGCGTCCAGGGGGGAAAGGGAAATCAAAACTATGCCCACACCGCAGACATCCTTGCGGAAAGGCCGGGAAAGCGGCCGGCCGCCACGCCACCTGCCAAAGCCTGGTGTCACCAGTGATGCACCGCGAACGACGACGACGACGACGCGTCACGCAGGACGCTCTCGAGCACCTCCCCTTGCTGCGGTGGGTTGTACCCGCAGACAATTACAAAAGGGCCGCCGCCAAGACGGTCCAACCCACCACGAAGTCGCGCAGTTATTGCAAGCACGGCGTTAAGCGATGCCTCCGTCGCGGCAGGCGTCACGTTGGCGACGCTGCTGTAAAAGGCACATGGGAGACAAAAGTATCCCGCAGGCATGGCGACCTCAAAGCCACCACAAACATGCTGAAGCCTCACCTCGCCGCAGCACACCGCTGCCTCGATAATATCCTTCATGGAAGCCATGTGCGCTGCCCCAAGGAGGGGTCCCATGTCCGCCGTTGCATCCAGGCTGTGGCCCAGGCGCAGCCCACGCACGTACTGCGCCACGCTGCGCAACACCAACAGAATGTCCTGCTGGGGCACAAATACAATCTGCAGGGCGTACAGCCTCCGCCCGTTACTGTGGAAGGCGTCTTGACAGATGCGTGCCGCCACCGTGTCCGCGCAGCAAGGACTTTCCCCCACCATAGCCAATGAAGGTTTCATGACGCGATGATGCCAACCCGCCATCCACGAGGCGCCCACATCGCGAGAGAGAGGAACGGCACCGCGGAGTTGGGGCAGGCGATGCAGCTGCTGCTCCCTAAAGCCGTTTGTCAGCCCCACTACAGAGAAACCCTCCTCCTGTTGGCGCGTAAAGGCCGCCACAACCTCATCACTGCGGCAGAGAATGATGTGCACCGCCTCTCGTGGGTCTGCCACCGCATTCCTGCCGCCGCGATGCAGGAGATGCATGAGCCACAGCGCCGAAAGCGGTGTCTCGAGTGAGGGCAGCCACACCGCCGCACTCCCTCGCAGCAGCGCAGTCGCCACCGCCTCCATGCCCCACTGCAGGGGGTAGTGCGCTGCTGTCACACACAACGCCACAGATGCCTTTCCAGTGGAAGTGTCACCAACGTGGAGATCGGTGTGACGTTCGCCCTCGCCGTACCCAAGTGAATGAAGAACTTCCCCTGCGTGCACCGCAGTCACAACCGCATCCTCCGTCGTTGTTGTTGGTGGTGCTCCCTGGGGCGTGTGCAACCGCTGCTCGCACACGGCAATGAAGTCCAGTGCAGCGCTGAGCGAGAGGCGTGCATCGCGCAGGCACATCCCTGTATAACCAACGCATCCGCGGAGGCAAGCAGCGCCGCATTCTCCCGCAGTACCGCCGACAACCTGGCAAGAGCGCGGGCGCGTTCTGTGAGCGACGGCGGAGGGGCTGGGCGTGCGACCTCGCACAGTGTACGCACTGCCAACGCTGTCGGTTGGGCCGCAAACGCGTAGACGCCCGCCGCGTCGGAGGGACTCTCCACCACAACAGGCACGCTGACGCCGCCGCACGGGTCACACGGACGCAGCTGACCTCGCACGTACGCCGCGGTGGCGGCTGGAGGCAGCATGTCGCGGTAGCTTTGCCTCCACGCAAACTGCAACACCCGCGTGCACGACAACACGCCACATTGCAGCATTGCTCGCCGCAAACTAACACGCGCGTATCACTTGCGCAGCCTTCGTTCGCCCTACTTACACACCCGTAAGGCCGTGTACCTTTTTGTTTTGTTTTGTTGCGACCACGCGACCTCGGTGGAGCAAGGCAAAAAAGCCAAAAGAAAAATGGCATATAATGCATTACGGGCAGCCGGTGTTGCTGGTGTCGTTGATATTATTTCGCCAAGAGCCATGAAAAATGTTTAAGCGTGTAGCAGCAACCTTAGCCGCAGTGCACCACTCTCTCTCTCTCTATCTATCTCCCCTTATCACGAGAGGCGCAATAAATTTTGTCATTGTTTTACTTTTTCTTCTTAATATGTTCGTTGAAGGCAGCCATAACTGTGGCACCAGAAGGTGCCGGTTGTGTTTGCCTGCAGAGTGCTTACCTATTGGTGTGGCCCTTGCGGGTCGGCCAGGGCCTCGTGCAGACACGCCGGGTACCACGTCAGCTCCGCCTGCATGCGGCGCAGCACCTGGCGCTCAAAGGCAGTCGGTGGGTGGTGCTGGCGCAGGTAGGCCCGGGCGGCACCCTCCACGAGGTGCTGCAGGATGAGGCCTCCCAGTTGGCCCGCACGCATGAATGCCCCCTGCCGCTCTGCCACCACCTGCAGGAGCTCCACAAAGTCCCCTAACTCCCACGTCACGGCTCCAGTGGGCGGCAGTGCATCGCTCAGCCGCCCTGTCGCGGCCCACCGCCTCAAAAGATGTTCAGAACTCACAGAGGATGTACAGTCGCTGCCACACCCGTCACTTGCATTGGCGCTCTCTGTGGTGGTGGTGGTGGTGGCAGCAGCAGGCTGAGCCGGGGGTGAGGCGCCGCGCCGTGTGTCGTTCCCCCCTACGACGGTGTGGGCAATAAGCCGAGCGAGCGCGACGGCAACGGGCGGTGCACAGGCCGTGGCGGTCACCGCAAGTGCCGCAACAAGACGCCTGCTCATCGATTCCTCCGCGTGCGGAGCGGCGTAGGCAGTAAGCTCCTTCAGAGTGTCGGCAGCTGTATCGGTAATGACGCCCCCCAAAGACGGCAGCACCCCGCTGCAGAGCGCCTCCAGCAGCACCATGAGATCTGCGTCCTGTGAGGAGAACGCGCCGTCACTCCCTTCGTGTTGAATTGCCCAATCCCGCTGCGTCTCGCGGTGCAGCACGGCCCACTTGAGGGCGTGACACAAAATCACATCCCATCCCAAGAGGCGTTTCATGCACTGGTGTGCCCCGAGTGCCTGCTGCAGCCACGCGCACCAGGCGGACTTACACGTGAGCTCCGTGTCATAGAGAGGGAAGAGAAACCACGGCCACTGCGTCTGTACAACAGCACGGCCCAAGCTCTGCCCTAACTCGAAAACTGGTGATGGCGGCGACGGTGGGAGTGCAGCGGCCCCCGCGCCAAATTCGGTGTCGTTATAAAACCCAAGCATCGCTGCTATCATCGTGGGGGCGGCGTCCAGGCAGTGCTTCGTCGCGGCAATGCCATGCAGAATAAATATCTCGGCAACGTACGTGTCTCGCGTGTAGTGCCGCCGTTGATCAACCGGCATGGTGCGCGTGTGCCGATGCATGAAGCCGGCCACCTCAATCATGGTGCACAACTCGTCCGGCAGCAGGTGCCCCGTTAATTGGGAAAGAGCCATGCAGTGCTGCTCAAAGTCAATGGCCAGAGCCGCGGCGTATCCCATCGATGCCTCGCAGCGCAAGGCGGGAAAGGCGTTGTGCGTTGCGGCCATCAGGCGAACTCGTGCGTGAGTCAGCGAGGCCCAAGCTGCCTCTACAAACGACTGCATATTCAACATGAACGGTGGAGTATCTGGGGTGGTGGCGCCTCCAACGACCCGATGATCCCAAAATCGGGTGAATGCGTGCTGCAGCCCCGTGGAGGTCAGCAGGCAGTTAGCCAGCATGTCCTGCACACACTGTTGGGTCTCACCCGCAAATCCGAGCAGCGCCGACGCCTCCGCCGCACCTCCAATGACGGTGAAGTACGTTGCCAGGTAGTGCGTCGAAGTGAGGGTGGCGAGGAGCGCAACGCAGTGGCCCGGTGACGCCGCGTCCCCCACACCGACCTCGACTGCCTGCATACGCGGCAGCAGCGTCTGCAGTGCGACACGTGCCAACTCCACGCCGCATGCCTCTATCGGGGCGGCGGTGAGGAGCAGCCACATTTCTGCCGGCATGCATGCACCCACGCCAACCGCCGTGAACAGCGTGTCGCCAATGTCGTGGAAGACACCAAACAGCCCATGGCGTACAAAGGCGCGAAGCACGAGGAAAGCCGCGAGACACGCTACAACTTCCATGAGAGAGTGCAGCTCCTCGCCGGGTGCGGCGCACACGTGGCGGAGGAACAGAACGAGGACCTCATGCAGCAGCGGCAGCAGCGCGATGCAGGCCTGCCTCACGTGCAGCACCCGCCGCAGCACAAGCAGCTCCTCCACAATCTCCCCAAGCGGTGTGACCCCCGCCACCACACTGCCCAACCGTTCCGCCACAAACCCAGCGTAGCGCGGGTCAGACGCCAAGCGCACGGCAACGGGTGGGAGCGACAAGACTCCGCCGCCCAGCAGCAGCCGTGCGGCCACCGACGGTCGAAGCACACCAAGTGCATCCATGACGCTCGTCGTCAACCCCAGCTGCTCCAGCGCGCGGGCCTTGTCTTCGCCGCTCCGCATCCACTCAGAGAGATCCGCAAACGTTGTTTCATTGTTGTCGGTGGTGGTATCCTCATGCTGCCGCGCCTCCTCTGCGCGTGCGGCCGCGTCTGTTGGGGGAACGCCAATCTCCCCCACTGCCTCCACCACTTCGGGGGTGATGTCGTAGAGGAGCCATACAAGACACTCCGCGGCGGTGCTGCACGGCACCGTGTGGCCGGAGGAAAGCTCAGTGATGAGCAAATGCAGCAGCTGCGCGCAGCCAGGGCCAAAAGCGCACCGCTCCCGCAGCTTCGCATCTACCATGAGCCGTGCCTGCAACGCCGCTGTAGCACACTCGCGATGCGTTCGGACAGTGCTGCACAAAAACTGCAGTAAAAGCTCGACGTATGCCTCGCCCTGAACCGGCGCGGGAGATTCCGCCTCTGTCTTGGGGAAGCACAGCGGCACGGCGTAGTAGCCCCGTGCCAGGTCTGCAAACTCCTTTGCCTTCCACTGGTGCTGACGCGCCAGTGTGGCCATCACGCCAGTGCCCGCATACAGGCCAAGCCTGACGGGATCTGCGTGGTTGTCCGCACCTCCGTCGACCTCCGGCTGCACGTGGGCCGTGAGTCCATGAGTGAGGCCCGCGGCTGTCGCAGGGGTGGTCCGCATCGCCTCGCCGCGGCATCGCGAGTCCGCCGTGCGCTGGCCGTAGCATCGGTCTGAGAGGCATCGTGGAAAGGGCCTCCCCACAATGGCCTGAATGGGGCGTAGCATGCTGCGAGGTTCCGCGCCGTTTCCGATGAGCCGCTCAACGATGTCGGCGAGGACGGGAGAGGCCCCGGTCGCCTCAGTCATATTCCCTGCATACACACACACAAGCAAGCAAACAAACAAACAAACAAACAAACAAACAGGCAATCGGGGAGGAAGCAAAAAAGACACGAAGGAAGGTGTCAAGCCGCAGAAATAAGGTGCAGGGTGCGTAATTGTCCTCGCAGGCGCCTGCAACGCCCCGTTTTCGCCCCCGCCGGCAGCGGCGCACACCGCACACTGCACAAACGTCAGCAGTCAAAATATAAAATAATAATAATGGTAGTGGTAGCTTCTATGAATAACCACAACAGCAGAAGGAGCGCCACCAAAGACTTTACAGCACAAAGAAAAATACTCACAAAAAGGAAGGCGCCCAGTGACGGGCCTATCACTGCTGCACACCACATCCCAAACCGCTTCCGTAAACGCACTCAACCAAAAAAATCAGAAAGAAGAAGGGATAAGAGGGGGAGTGTCAAACGTCTTTCTTCCAGTCCAACCACACACAGTGAAGGTAAGAGAGAGCGAAGGTAAGAGAAAGAGAGACACTTCCACGCACGCACACACACGTGGGGGGATGGTCAGGAGGGGAATAACAGGCAGAGAGGCGTCACTAAGAAATCGACCAACGAAGTAGCACAACAACAACAAATGCAAACAAAACACACACAACAAAAAAAAAAAAACGGAAAAAGAAAATACACAAAAACGCATGGCGCGCGTCTGCCTCTCAAGACTTCCGCCAATCCCACACATATCGCGTATCATGTATAAAGCGTTTAACGAACCCGTTTTTCTCCTCCACCGTATGCCGTTGCGACGCCGCGCTCTGGACTGCCTCGGGCCCTACCTCAACAAACGTCGGTTGCCGCCGCATCAGAGGGGTTGAAATCCATGGCGGGGACGTAAGGTGCGGCGAGCGTGAAACTGCCCCATTCACGGCACCCGCACCGACTCCAGCGAAGGCCTGGCGCGTATTCGCAGCGTACTGAAACAGTGTTCCCATCCACCGCTTCGCCGTGTCGACCGCCGTGGAGGTGACACGTGTGGGGAGGTACGAGACACCGCCCTCCTGCACCTCGTCCCCGGCGCCGTCCGGCACAAGCGAAAAAAGGGCGGAGGTGATGGAGGGCAAGACTTGCCTGGGCCCCCCATTTCCGCCCCTCCCCCACACGCCCGACTTCGACGCATCTCCCGCGCCGGGCCCCGCGGAAGGCGGTGGTGCAGGCCTCACCTCGGCGGCGGCGCCGTCTCTGCGCGGGGCCGACAAAAGCGACGCCCCCTGCACACACCCCTTGTTGGGGTTCGCGAAGTTGGGAACCGTGCCGTGGTAGTACGTCCTGCCATTCAACTCGAAGCGGTAGATGTAAAAATTTCCATCCCGCACATGAACATGTTTGTGCCGCCTTTTCCCTGCGCCCTCCACCGCGTCCAGCCGCTCTTCAAGGTTGTTGTTCATACTTCCATCTTCCGCCTCCGCCTGCACCTCGGTCGCATCGCCGTCCTCGTCACCCTCTTGAACCTCCTGCACTGTGACCACCCAGCCAGGGTCATCCGGCGGGGCCTCGCGTGCAGACTTACAGTGCGGCCGCATCGCCGCAAGCACCACCGCGTCGAGCGGGATGGTGCGGTCTGCCACCCACAGTCCAACCTCAGCGTCGTAGCGCAGCACGTCCCCCTCGTCAAACCCGTCCACCACTGCAGCCCCCATGACGTACACGTCCAGCTTCTCCACAGGTGTGGTGCCACCCTCGCTGAGGGGAAGCGGCGGGGGATGGTGGCGGTCCACAAGTCCGCGGAAGCGCCAGTAGGTGTCATCCGAGGGAAGCGGCTCCACACGCCGCGCAAGTATCTCCGGGTGCTCCGCCAGCGAAAGGCAGAGCTGCTCCGCCAACTGCTTCCCAATGCGACCGTGAAACATGTTGTCCTCGGTGATCCACGTCTCGAACTCGGTGGGGTCAGCAAGCCCAACAGGGGTGCCAGGAAGTGTAGATGTGGAACTGTTTAGCGAGCTCGAACGCGAATGCTGGGGGCTGCCAAAGTGAGGGTCAATACCCACGTGCCCCAAGCGACAGCGCATCTCATGCAGAAAGGAGAGAATAGGCACATTCGTCATGAGTGAGGAAAAACTAAACGTGTCCATGGGTGGCATACTGGACCCCGCGTAATACGAGGAATGCGTTGTTTGCTTTGCGGAGCGCTGCAGCAAGCCAGCGTCAATGAGTTGGTTGTAGTACATCTCCGCTGCCATCAAAGTGACGCGACTGAGATTTTGTTCGCCCGCAGATTTTGTGAGGAAAACAATCGCCGCCAACGGTGCCGCCACAGGAGGCGGTAGCGAGACGAAATGGTCATAGTTTGCCCCAGCGATGCCGCCCAGGTGAATAAGCCCGGCTGCTCCTGGCACGGGCACACGAGGTTGTTGCTGGGGCGCCCGCTGGTGTGGGTTGTACGACGGCGATGACGCCAAAGAGGAAGCAACTGCCAGAGTGGGCTGCACAGGAGGGTGCGGGTAATGGCCGGTGGAAAGACTCAACTGGTCCTCGCATAGTTTCGGGTGTGGTATCGCGGGGGTCTGCATTCCAGAGCTGAGGATTTGGTTCCGAGGGTCCGAGAGAAGCAATCCATCACGCAAGGAGGGGCATGGTGGGCTTGGCGCGGTGCAGTATGCTTGACTGCCCGCACTGGCGCTGCCCAGGCCCGCGGCGGCCACCTGCACCCCCTCCACCTCCATGGGCACGAACCCGAAACAGCCGACGATGTTCACAATCGACCCGCAGAGGTAAACCCCCTGCTCAAGCACCGCCTGCAGCTGATGTGAAGCGTTGATGCTGGCGTTGCTGTTTTGCTGTGCCAGCTTGCTAGGGTTGTAGCGAAAGGCAACAGCACATATGATGGGAAGGACGCGTTTTTTGGCCCTGCCGCTATCCGGGGAGATCAGCCCCGCGGCACGCTCGTGCGCCTGCCGCATTTCCTCGTCAGTGTCAAACAGCATCTCCTCCACCCGCTCCACAACCCCGCTGTATAACGCCTCCCGTGACGGGTTGGACGACTCCCCGTCGCTGCTGTCGGTGGCCGGTATCCGGCTCAGGTCGCCCGGGGAACCCGGGCGGCGAAAGTAGTAGTTCACCCCCGCATCGCACCGGGTCTTGTGGAACTGTACGAAGAGAGCGCAGTCAGGGGAGGGAAAGAACTCCTTCGTCAGCGGGATCAACACAATTTCCTGCTTCTTGCTGCCTCCGACACTGCCGCCCGCCGGTGGCCGCAGAACGTACAGCCCCCGCTGCATCGTCTCCCGGCTTGGCACCGCCCCCATTCCCCTCGCCGTGTATGCCAAGTTTTATAGATATTATTCCGTTAACCTCCCTCCACTTGCAGCCCTCAATATTTTTAAAAACGGAGAGCAGGAGAAAAAAAAAAATAACAATAATTTCCTAGCCTTCTTTTTTATTCTTTATTTTTCTTTTTTCTTTCTTTTAATATAATTTTTAGTATTTATCCTTTTTTTCTCCCTCGCGGCTGTGGAGAAATATTCCTCCTGCTTATTCCCTCGTCTGGTCGCCTGGCGGAGCTACAGATGGATGTGTATGTGTATGCGTGTGTGCACAGGTGTAATGTATACGTTGCAAACGCAGTTGGGTAGTTATGCCCTTGCGGCCGCTCAATGTCTGCGGTGCGAAGAGAGAAGCCCTGCCTGTGCCCTTTTACTGCCTGCTGAGCCCTTCTCTCGTGTTTTCACCCTTGAGAGCGTTTTCAACGGCAACACAAGCAGACGCCCGTGAGGAGGAGGAGGAGCCACAGAGACACACAGACAGACGCGGTCTCTGGAGGCTGCAGCAATATAACCAAACACAAGGAGCAAAACACACAAGTGTAGGGAGAAACACCAAAACAAAGTAGAAAATAGAGAGCAACAAGAGGCGTGAGAAACACCTGTCCGCCGCACAACAAAGAAAAAAGCATCAACAACAAAAAATGAACTGGCGGCTGTCGCAGACCAACGACACACAGTCCATTCGCAAACATATCCGGCCCCTGTATGCGTCAAACTCACGCAGCTCCCACAGTTCACGCCGCGGAGTTTGCTGGAGCGCTGCAAACCCTTCCAGTCACCCCTGCGGGGGGCAGTGCGAGTGACGTCCGCAGTGGCTCTGGACGGTGCTGTCAGCTGTGGAGCCCTCACTTGCCCAGCGGCGTGGCTGCGGCAGCTGGCGTCAAGGAAAGTGGTACTCCTCTAAATGCATGTAGTTCACCGCGTCTGCCTCCACCGCCGGTTTCAGTGGCGAGGCGCAAAGGTGGTCTCCCACACACACAAACGCCACTCCCTAGACGCTGTGCTCGATCCCCGCACACTGCTGACTGCATTGCCCGCCGGTACACGTGGACTGTCGACAGTGCGGGGGAGGGCCCACTGCCTCCTTAGCAGACCGCGCAAACTGCGGCGCAACGGCAACGACACGCACCACCTCCCGCCCCGGGCCACACCCGCCGGAGACACGATGGAACACCACCGAGAGGCCACACCAAACCCGCCGTCATTGGCGCCTGGCGTTCGTAGTCGTCCATCGCTCCACAGGGCCGGGCAATACACACACAGACGGCGAGGCCAGCGGTACCCGTCAGGTCCGTTCAACGCCAGCAGTTCCACCTCTCTCGCGGCTCCACCGGTCCGTCGTGCCATCGTTTTCTGCTGATTGATGCTTTCCCTCTCCCTTTCCACCTTTTTTGCCGTTGCCGAAACAGCGCCTTGAGCCTTTTGGTTTCCCCCCTGCCGTGGTGGAGGCCCCGATAACACAAAATGCGCGCGTGCAGCCGTCTGCCGGCGCACCGCTGCCCCCAGTTTAGCGTCAGAAGAGTGCAGCAAAACCAAAAAAAAGCAAAAAGAAGGTCCAGCGCGCAAACGCCGCGATACGGTGGGGCAACAAGCAGGAAAATCAGAAAGGACACGCAAAATAAGCACAATAGCAATTTTAGATACTGACGGGAGCCACGCGGACGGCACGAGTGCCAAGGGACACGTTGCGGGTGGCCGCTCGCCCATCACGGCGGAGGCGGCAGTGTGAGGCTCGAGAGCCACAAGGGCTGCCCGGCGCGGGAAGCAAAGAACTACAACAAACAAAAACACAAACAAAGAAGGGACGCGGGAAAAGGGGGCACGAAACACACAAGACGTCCAGTTCCCCTATCAGTGTTGTTGCGTCGTGCACGGCCCTACGGCTCGCAGGGGGGAGACAAAAAGAAAAAAAAACGCGGACAGCAACCGCACACGTGCCAGCGCTGCCTGAACGGGGCCAGCCCTGCGGTGGGGGCAGAGGCCGAAGTGGCAGTGTGACAAGCAGAAACCATAAAAAATGAAAAAAAAAAAAAACGTGGAACTTCAAGCAACCAAAACTTCCTTTCGGAGTTGGAGCAAGAGAAAGAGGCCGATCAGCAGTCAACGCAAGGATAAGCAAAAACAATAAAAAAAAAAATGGTATCAACGCGTCGGCGGGCCACCGTGCAGGGAATAGGAGAAAACAGCATGGGGGTGCCGCCCCGCCGGCATGCGTGGAACGGAGCTTCGCATCCTCGTTTCGTCGCACAGAGGAAAACGGGCGCGGACGCACCGCCAGCTGTATGCACCCCCCCCCCCCCCAAAGAGACCCCCGTGAAGTTGCGTCATCCGCCAGCTATAACGCGAAAACGGAAAAGTCAACAACAGCAATGCGTGCTAATCTCACACACACACGCACATGAGTGAGAGAAAAGGTGGAAAAAAGGAGGAGGAGGAGAACAAACAAAGACAAAAAACAAAAAAATGATGCGCACGTGTGCGTGTGTATGAGTATATATATATATATATATATATATATATACAGATAGATAGAGATATGTATATATATGTATGTGTACAAGGACGCATTTAGTGCATGTCCTTGTTCTTCCTGTTCCGTTGTTTGCTTTTTGTTCTTGTTCTTGTTTTGGTTGTTGTTTTGTATAAACCACCCACCCCATCTTCGCCGCCGGAAAGTTCCAGTCGTCATCGCCTTCGTTCTTCGCCTCTACGTTCCCCAGTCCATGTGCTTAGTCAAGTGAGCCCATATATATATGGCGAGACGGGGGGGGGGGGGTATTTCCTGTATATGCCCACTGAAAACTGTTTTTTTTTGTTTGTAGAGACGCCGCACAACTCACGTCTCAATTTCACGTTTGTTTGGTTTCATTTTATTCTTATTTTTATTTGCCTACCTGCCGTGTCGAGCCAAATTGTTGCCGCCGGTGACGCCCGTAGAGCGGCGCGAGACGGGAGGAAAGGAAAAGAAAAGTTTTAAAAAGTGTCTACGAAGCACACGGAGCAGTGTGTTCAAAGCAAAAAAAAGGTTCCACGCGGCAGGCACGGGGTACGAGGAAGACCAGGCGACGAGGCATCCGCCCGCAATGCAAAAAAAAAAAAAATGTCACGGTCGCACAATGAAGAACGGGTTTCCATTGGGCTGCAGGGGCAGCTGCGCAGGCACGTAAGAAATCGGCTGCAGCGGCTGCGCGCCCGGGTGGGACAGCGTGGGATAAACGCAGTAGTACGCCGCCTGCAGCGGCTGCGGCATAGGCTGCACGTATGGAAAGTACTGCAGCGGCTGTGCGGGCGGCATGCCCACCGACTGCACAACCGGCGTGCATGGCGGAGGGGGTGCTTCCGGGGCGGCGTACAGGCCCGCATTGCGTCGCACATTGCCGTCGTCGAACGCCAACGACGACTCTCTCAATGACTCGCCTGATACCCCCCCTGACACGGAGCTGTACTTCAACGACTGCGACATCACCACGAGCGGCGGTGACTCCGGGTAGCACGGCTGCATGGGGGCAAACGTGGCCATGGTGGGGTAGAACGGAAACATGGCACCTTGGCTCATGTCGTTCGTGACCATCCACGGTGGCAGATGCGCCGTGTCGCGTGCCAACTTGTCATCGCCCTTATTGTAACTCGAATCCCGCTCCTTGTCGCAGGTCGCGTGGGTCTGCGATGCTCCTTTGCCCGATGCCCTCACCCTGGAGGAGACGGGGGTGGTGGCGGTGCCTCTGCGCTGTATCGCGCCCTCCTCTCCAGCCGTCAAAGCTTTCACATCCGCCTCCGCATGGGAGGCAGCACGTCGCGCCGTATCCCGTCGATGTCTAAACGCGTTGGCAAACCTCGGCACGGTGCCGTAGAAGTACTTCGTGCCTTTGCGCTCGAAGCACCAGATGAGGAAGCCACTATCCGCAACAAGCTCACCAGTCTCCTTGTCCCGTAGCCAATGCGGGTCGGTCGCCTGCGCCTCGCGAGCGCTCTTGCACTCATCGTGCACGAAGGAAAGCAAGACGTTCTCCAGGTGGATGCTCGCGTCCACCTGCCAGCTACCGTGCGTCGCCTGCCACGACCCCGTCTTCTCGACGCCTTCGGTGGCAGTGGGCTCCTCCGCTGCCGGTTCATCTGTGACGTCCTTGCAGCTGCCCCTGGCGCTGGAGGGTGGTGGCCACTGCGGCTGTTCTGTGGCCCCCGGCACAAACCGAATGATGTCACCGCGTCGCACCTTCAACGAGCAGGCCCCAGAGACGCCCGTCCCACCGGCATCGCCGGCCACAGTCTCTTCACACTGTGCAACGTGCACCAAGGCATCCACGCACACAACGTACACCTCGTTTGAGCTGTGCATCACGGCGGGGATAACGACGTTGTCCTTTTCTATGAATCCGGCAAGGGTGAAGAACTGTTTGTGAAAGCGGGCGGTGGTCAAACCAAGAGTCGTGGAGCCTGTTTCCCCCACATCCACACTGCTACTTGCGGAGCTGACGGGTCGAGCTGCCAGCGGCAGAGGTCGGACATCCTGCTTTGTGCCTGTTTTTGCCTCAAGCTGGAGGCGGTACTGCGCCGCAAACGCCCCGCACAACTCTGCCGCATGATCAGCTGTGACGGAGCCGCGAACGAACGCCCCATCAATCCACATGGAGTGCTCCTCGGTGTTTGCATGAAGGAGATCCACACGGTTTCGCATCTCGCGTAAAAAGCATAGAAATGGAATGTTCGTCTTCAGTGCGCGGAAGGTCACGGGGGCCATGGGAACACGCGGCAACCCGCAAGTCTCTGTGCACTGCGTGTGGAACAGCCAGGAAGCAAACAGCATGGCACGCACCATGTTGTGGTCGCCGGCCGACCTACGGAGAAATATCATCAGGTCCAGCGTCGCTGCCTCGGTCTCGACCTCAGATGTCTTCAGTTCACATCCAATGCCGCCAATGACTGTGACGCAGGCGCCACCCAGCACCACAGACCCCTCCGGCGTGTCCCGGCGGTCATTGTAGAGAAAGGCCACCGCACAGGGAACGGGGCGAATCAGGCAGTGGTCTTGCGACGGGTCTGCCATGTAGCTCTGGCGCAGCTCATTGGCGGTCTCGTAGAGCCGACACGTGTTTGTGAGATCCATGCATGATGCGTAGTACTCCTCCCTGGTAAAGGCAATAGGCGGAATCACGTCCAGCCTGACGTCTGTGTTTGTGTCCCGGCGCGAGTAGTACCGCACGTAGGGATCGCAGCGAGCCTCGTAGAGCTGCCCAAAGAGTGGGGACTCAGCGGACGGGAAGAAATCTGCCGTCATGGGAATCAGCGCAATGACACGACCGAAGTCGCCGCGTGCCGGGCGGAAGGGCGCCTCTCGGAGTATATCCGCGCTCGGTGCAGCGCCCATGCCTCTTTGTGTGTGTTTGAGCAAGTGAGTATAAGTGGGTAATGAACACTTCCTGCTTGTATTCTTCTCCTTCTGTTCCCTGCTCTCTTAGTTGAGTGTTTTTCTTTTTCTCTCTCTCTCTCTCTCTCTGTGTGTGTGTGTAGGGGAGGAGGTGCCTTCGCGCTGCTGTATACCGCACCAGCTCCGCTACTACCGATGACTACGTCGGGGCGCCGCCAGCAGCCACAAGGGGGCACCCGCACAGAAGGAAGGAAAGAACAAAAGAACAAAAGAATAAATGAGGCAAACATTTGACGGCCACCAGTGAGCGGGCGGAGAAGCACCGCACGCGGAGAGCAGACACACAGACACACCGCCTCCTTTAGCACTACCAGCAGCTACTGCACAGCAGCAGGCTGCGAGCGGAGTCGTTCCTCCCCACCCAACGCAGTGCAGACCGCCGTTTTACCACTACAAGGTAGAAGGAAAAAACAAACATAAAAAAGCAAAGCAAAAAAAAAAGTGGACTTCAAAGAGGCAGCGCAGTTGAAAAAAAAAAACAGGAGAAGGGGGAAATCGCAGAATAGCAGTGCGTAGAAGTCGCATAGACGCAGGAACAAAGAAGAGAAAAAAAAAAAGGAAAAATGAAGAAGTGCGTCAAATGCATTTCGTGTGTCACTCTGGTCCTGCACGAGTGCTGTGAAGAGGGGCGGGCCGCGCCGGCACACACACACACAGGAGGGGGGGGGAGGGGAATAATAATAATAATAACTGTGTGCTTGCAGTTAATTTTGCGTCCTCAGTAGGATAAGGCGCGGAGAGTGGCGGTGAAAAACCTTCCCCCCTGCGTCACCCCCGCCACAGCACCACGCAGGTGCCAAGGGAGGTGAGGAGACAATGATGAAAGTATGCATCTATGGATAGACAGATACCTAGACGTATGCAGAAGTATAAACGGAACGGGCGTCGCTTGACGCTGGCTGAATGCATCGTCGCCATCGCACCCCAAGGGTCCTTCTTCCCCACTCCCCCACCCTCCCCCTCTCGCACTTCATGTGTGTTGCCTCCCTCCCAGAAACTTCCCCCACCCCCCATCTCCACCCCCTATCTCCCCTGCATGAGGCGAGGGAAGACGAAAAGGATAGAAAAGGGGAAGCTACACACACACACGCACACACACTCGCAACGCGTACGGCCCTACCGGTGCAGCGCAAGGACGCAGCTTGCATACCTCGGGCAAAAAAGAGCAACAGATATCGCAAATCCCTCTCTACGTGCTACCATACATTCGAGCGGCAACCAACCCCTTTACCGTTGCTGCTGCCCCTGTCAAACATGGCTTGGGACGCACCGCCGCAGTGAAGTTTGCCGCCGCCGCTCCCCGAAACTGTAGCTACATCAACGTGGCTACCCACCGGGTACAGGCGGTTCACCATTTCATTGACATGCACGGCCCATCTGCTTGCACACTTGCTGAGATCCCTGAACACGTAGCTGCGCTCCCTCGTCACAACACGAAATGACTCCGCCGTGACCGCTTCAGCGTAAAGGTGTGCAGTGATAGGGATGGTGCCCTTCACGGCGCGCGTCGACAGCTCCACGTAGAACAGTCGTGGGAGGTCCGTGAGAAAGAGAATACGCTTGCGTGACATCCGCTTCAAAAAACCACTCGCCTCTTTGAGCACCAGCGAGCAGTGTACGACCATCTCGCCATCCGCCAGCACACCCAGCGGCAGCTCCAGAGAGGTGTCGCCGGAGCGAAAGATGAGGTTCAACTTCCTTGGCGTCCGCGTCCAGTCAACGTCCGTGAAAAAGGGGTGTGCCTTGAGGGCGTCAAAGCCGCCCATCGCATCGGAGCCAAGGCGGTCCATGGGATCCCGCCGCACGAGACGCCGCACGAGGTCCTTGGCCTTTGCCGGGAAGCGCGGCGGGTACTCCAGCTCGTCGTCCAGGTATTGTTTACCTTGCGCATCACAAGCATGGGGCTATCCGAGTGAAACAGGGTGCGGCCGGCGAAGAGCTCAAACAGGACGCAGCCCAGGGCCCACAGATCACTCGTCGCGCTTGCCTTACTCGTGCACACCACCTCAGGCGACATGTAGGCGGCGGAGCCGGCGAAGGTATTCGCCGCCTCGTCGCTAAGGTAGCAGGCGCAGCCAAAGTCCACGATGACCACGTGGTGGTCAGCTGTAACCAGCAGGTTGCACGGTTTGACGTCGCGGTGAGCAACCCCGACGGTGTGCAGGTACTCCAATACCAGCACGACGTCGGCGAGAAAGCGGGGAGCGAGGAGAGCCAAGTGCTCCGGTCCGTGGGTCTTGATGTACTTCTCAAGCGTGTCCCCCACTACGTGTTCCATGATGAGGTACAGCTCGGCCTCGTCCTCAGCCGCGCCATACATCTTCACGATGCACGGGTGGCTTAAGGAGGCGGTGAGATTCACTTCGGACTCAAACGATTTGAGAATCTTTGGCCGCCGCCAGAGACTAGACTTGTCAATCCGCTTCACAGCCACGGGCATAATGACCACCCCGTTATCAGCGGCAACAAAGGCCCTGCTGCTCCACGGCTTAGATGTGCCCCTCACTTCGCTTTGGTTCGTCGCAAGGCGGAAAGCCCGCCGCAGTGGGCCGTTTCTGAGATCCGTAAAGGCAACGTCACACAGTGGCGTCCGCGAAATAACGGCTTCTCGTGACAGCTCCCTCGGGTGGCATTGCGGCGGTGACGGCGATGATCGCATATGCAGTGCCGGATTCTCCGGTGAAACGGTCCTGCAGTCATCCTGCCGCGTCAAATCTGTGGCGTTCGCCTCCACCTGAACTGTGCCTGCTCCGTAAACGCCACCGCCACCGCCACTGGTGTTGCTTCGCGCCGTTGGCGGCTGATCTTCCTCGCTACAATGCCCCATAAAAGAAACGGAATTCCCTGTTCTCGAATTGGAGCGGCTGTGTGCGGTTAACAAAGGGAACGACATCGAGGGTGCGGGGCTCTGCCGCATAGCAGGGCTGAGCATACTCAGCTCCCCTCGCAAAACCTCACCAAAGGTGCCCACGCCCAGCACCTCACCACGCACCAGCCGCAGCCGCTCCAGTGGAACAATCATACGCTCAGGCACCTTAAGCGAGGTGCCAAGTATGCCACGCAGGTTTCCAAAGTGGGGGCCATGCACGGTGCTACTGGCTGAGTCCCCAGTGGAGACCGTTGAAGACATGACAGGGCTAAAGCCCCACCTACTCTCGCGCAGCAAGGAAAAATGTCGTAGTGAGTCCGTGATGGGTATCAATGGAACGACGCCCAGTCCTACTGGAGCAAAGGTGGTTGCCTGCGGCGTCAACGACGCGTCCGCGTCAGACGCGTAAGTCGTGTCTATACCTGGACGTCGCATTTGCTCTGCGCCTATTCACGGAAGCGCTTCTTACTACCTATCTATATCTTGTTCCCTCACTATTGTGACAATTGTTAATATAAAATAAATATTCAAGTTAAACTTATGTAATTATATATTGCAAGGTTATATATGTATATATACATATATATCACTCTAAGTGCCGGCGTGCCGGCCTATGGCCCTCTGGAACGCCTCACCCGTTTTTTCACCCGCACGCAGGTGGCCGTAACAGGAACTAGCACGCTAACAAAAACTTTTGGTGTTGGGTAGTGTCTCTTGGGTCACTCTCTTTACTACGCCCTCCTAACAATTCTTGGGGAAAGGCAAAGCGACGATGAAGCAGAGGGAGAAACACACGATGCGCAGCACACACAGACAGAAACACATCCACAGCGTACTCTGTCCCTGCACCAAAGCACAATGCTCAGCGTTCATCCTTTTCAGCCAGCGCGTGTGTCATCCACCTTAATTTGTTGCTACCGCAGTTTGTCATCCCCCCAGCGCTGTGGCAACGAGACGTCATCCCCAGCGGGAAATCTGTCTGCGCCTGTTCCCGCTTGCCCGATACCTTCACCCGGAAAGTACGCATCCACGCAGCTACGGAGCGTCATAGCTACAACGCCCTTGCCACGCACCACGTGATCGGCCCGCCAGTTTCGCCACTCCCGCTTTCTTCCGCGCGTGAACAGCACACACACACACATGTGAGTGCATGGAACCGCGTGCAAAACAAGGCAGTACGGCGCCAAGCATGCCCCAGCAAAGGTTTAATGTGAATTATTGCTGTTGTGCACTCCCCCGTTGTACGTTGCGGCTGCGCACGGCGACAAGGCGCAGAAGGCGGTCCAGCGCTATCACCGCTCCTCGTGCGATCTTACAGCGGCCCGCACAGATTTGGCATCACAGACGCAGCAGGCCTTCTTCGACCGAAGCAAGCGCAACCCTAGACGAGCGAGCAACACCGCAGGGGTGCCCATTTGCTCAGTAGTGACGCGCCTTCAGCTGGCGTCAGCCGTGCTCCCACAGCAAGAGGGATAGAGAGAAAAATAAAAATGATTTGTGCGTGCGTCGTGCCCCCATATCAACGACGGTGCAGCCGCCGCTGTCAATACCGCGGGGCTGCCTCCAGCATGCCTTCTGCCTCTCCAGCCTCCTCGGCACTCCGCTTCAAGGCGAGGCACCCTTCCGCTCCATATCCGCGGCCAGAGCCCCGGCGGCAGCGTGACGGGTCAGTGAGGTCCAAAAAAGAAAAAGGCCTCGGAAAACATGTGTGTGTGTGACGGCGTCCCTCGCAACCCGCTTGCGGCTCGTCGTGCACGCGTTTTCACACGGAAGGAAGCTCGACTAAACCCTGAGCGTTTTCGATCGTGCATCCCACTCCTGTGCACCACCTTACGTGTGCAGGTGAAAGTGAGGGCATTCAGTTCTTGCCGTTAAAACGCCGTTACTTTTAGCAGTCCAGAGAATCGCGAGGCGGGGAAGGGCTGAGCGCGCCAATTGGCTGCAGAAGCAAAAGTGCTGCATAACTGAGGAAGCCCCAACGGGATGAACGCAAAAGGAGCGGCGTCATTCTTCCGCGTGTTTATTTATTTTCCCCTTCATTTTCTTTCATTTATTTTTCTTTTGCAAAAAACTAGGGAGAATCACACTGTGAAGTGCGTGCTGTGATCGCCCCGCCAAACAGACACGTTACACCTCGCAAGACTTCCCTACAGGAGGGACGACGGGAGGCTGCGGCGGCTGCCAAAGAAAGAAAAATACACTCGCACACACACACACACACCGCAGCGAGAGAAGCCACAGTAGAAGACTGTGGCTGCTCGGGTGCTTCTATCCATCCCTTTCCGCGCCTCCACCAGCATCGCAGTCCCCAGCGCAACGTACGCCCGCTGCCCACACCTCGCCGCAACGTGCCCCTCCTCACCCGTTCTCGATCACTTCGGTGCCTTCAATTGTTCCTTGCGATGTCGCCACCACTCTTCCTGATGCCTTGCTTCTCTTCGCCGCATCATGTCCACCGCATCCTGCCCAAGCTCACGGTGGTCAGGCACGGAAAAGAGCTTGTACTCTCCCATCGTCACTGGTTCAGGCCGCTGCCCTCGTGCATGCTGCCGCTTGAAGTGGGAGAGGTTAAACTCCAGATCCGTCTGCAGCCGCGGCAGAACGTGCTGCTTCCACCGCTCCTGGACCTCCCTGGCACTCTGCTCAGGTATCTCTGTGTGCTCAGACACGCGTTGCTGAATCGCCTCCTCCTCTTGCTTCATCTGTGCACTGTACTGATCCACGTAATAGTCCCACTCCTCCTCGGAAAGTTTTCGGCGCCACTGTGGTGCCTCTGTGCGCCGCCTCTCAGTTTCATAGTGCCACAGCCATGGGTTCCACGTTCCCTGCACCGAGCGCCGCTGGAAATGGAGCTGGGAAGCGGAGAACGGCAGGTCGTAGTCGTTGGCAGTGTTTACCAGACGATGCAGTCGCAGCCAGATACCCATGGGGCTCATAAACTTTGTCTTGTAGCTCCTCTCGCTCCCGTCACGGTAGACGCCGGTCACGCTCGTCTCGGCCCACAGCCGCGGGCGGATGTCAATCGTCACGCTCGGGTACTTTGCGTGGAAGGCGGGTAGGTGTGTCGCGAGAAACTGGCGCGTGTTGGGCTACCCCTTGCTGGGGCAGTAGGAAACAATCACCTTCTTTAGGCAAAGCTCGCCGTTGCGGCTCATCGTGCCAAATCTAACTTCACCCCTACCCACGGAGACCGTCCACAGTCAAAGCCACGCGACACAACATTGGAAGGAAAAAAAGTAAAAGGCAAATGGCAAATGGCACGATGAAAGGAACAAAGCAAACGCGCAAAGGGCAAATCAATAGCAAGGCAGAAGCAAAAAAAAAAAGAACAGTCCAGGGGTCTTGATTCCTAGCACGACTCCTGTGAAAAAATGCATGTGGAGGTTAGGGCCTCCGCATCCATTCCCGCTGCATGGTCCATGGCATGCGTGCGGAGACAAGCTGCATTCCAAAGCGAGCGCCACTCACGCGCGCCTTCAACGGCCCCTTCTCACCCGAAACACCGTCCACCATGCGCTCCGCGGGGTCTGCTGTGTAATCCGCCAGTTGACGCTGGACGTCGCGGAGAAAGCCCCGGTAGGCCCACGGCGACGGCGGCACAAAAAAGCCCTCGTCGTTCCGCGTCAATTGCAGCGTGCGGTTGACAAGCCGTGTGTGTGCAACGACGGCTTTGGAGTCCTGCAGCTGACGGTATGCCTTTGCCACGCGAGGAAATGGACCCAACAAAAGCCCGGCCTCCTCCACTAAAAACTTCAAGATCGTGAAGAGCGGCCACGTGCTCCAGTTCTCTGTCTCGCGCGGCAGTTCATCGTCATCACCCTCCAGAGAAGTCTCCAGGCGGGTGAGGAGATCCATCAAGCGGCTGTGCGTCTGACGCGTCACCTCCATTTCAGCCGTGTTCCGTGCCTGAAGAACGTCGTCCACAGCGTGCAGCACGTGATCAGCGACAAGGGCCGCATCCAAGTATGCCTGGAGTTGCCGCTGGTGCTCTAGTCCCGAGGAAGCGGCGGGGAAGAAGTAGAAAATATGCTGTGGGTCGTGCACACGTCGCAGTCCCCCCTCGGAAAACTGCAGCAGTGGCGACTCCTTCCTCCCGACTTCGGCGTCATTGAAGGAGGCCGCACTGCTCGTGCCCGTTGCGTCGATGGCAACAAAGCTGCGGAAGCGCGAAAGGCACCAAAAGTCCTCTGGACGGATCGCCGTCGTCGTCGTGCAGACGGGCTCCAGAAGAAGTGTGTGGCGCTGCCGCAAGGCACGCAGCAAGAGCAGGCTGTGGTGCACCGCTGGGTGCCACAGAAAAGCCGCCTCACACTTCACGGCAAACATACAAATTCACCCCACACACACACGCACTCTTTCTTTTTTTTTGCTTCTTTGTTTTCGCTTTTGTTGCTACTTCGTCTCCCTGCGTTATTGGTGTGTCCGACCCGCTGCAGCACGCGCCTTCCGCTGCACCTCAGCAACTACCTTGTGAAGGCAAACCACGGAAGCAATACAAAGGAGACGCGGTGGGGTACGCATCACATGTAGATATGAGACAGGCATATTTTTAATTTTTTTTTAAGCTGACGAAAAGCCGTATATCCACAAGACAAGACGCACTGCACCCTACCAGTCTGCTTCGTATTGTTCCTAAACACCGAGCACCACGCAGCGCACTGATCCTGCCAGTTCTAACACTCTTCCACCGTACTAATATCGGCAAGCTGAAGTGACAGAAAATATTTGACGTCTCCCAACATTTGTTTGACACCTGTCACCCTCGCTTCCTTCCGCATATTGTTTTCTCTTTATTTTTCCCTTTTTTTCCAATGCTCTGAGGCGGTGGTAGGTTTTAAGTGGAAACCATCCTCTGAGGCGAAACTTATTTCTCCCACCAAGTGCATAAGCAAGGGGGAAAAAAAAAGGAAAATAAAATAAAAATAAAACACAATGCCTGTTCCTAAACAAAAAAAAAACTTTCCCTACACACTTTACTAACGTTTGAGAACACATAAATTGTATAATTTCCCCCCACCCGCATTCAGCACTCTTTCGGTTTTTGTTGTTGCTGATGTTTCGTTGCTACAGAACATATACCTTTCCCTACTTCCTCTATCTGTGTTGTGCTTCCTCGTCTGACTACCGCGCTTACAGGTCCTCGCTCGTCATGGTAAGCATAGGTGGATTGATGTGAAAGTATGGGCGGATAAACTTGCCATCGGCTGCCCACACATCGCCACCCTTTGACTGCGCGTACGCGCGCGCGTTCTCGCGCTTGAACTCCTCAGGCCAGTCCTGGTAGTACACGTGATAGAAGGAGGAGTAGAAAACGGAGATGTACGTAAGGTAGAGGAAGGAGAAGAGTGCACCCCAGTTCATCAACACGCGGAGCTTCGTCATGCGGGTGGTGTCACGAAGGCCCAACTGGTATATGCACTTCCAGTGCCACTCAAACACCTGCTTGCGGGAGGCACCCAGAAGGTGCAGCGGCATCTCATCCCACGCAGCCTTGAAGCGCTCAGTGGAGTGCATGTCACCACCCAAGAGCGGGCGGCTTGTGCGCAACATGAGAGCGCGGTGGGATGTCGTGAAACTCACGGCAGGAGCTGTACGGCGAAGCATCTTTGTTAGCTCTTTTATTTTAATTCTTTGTTCTTGGTTGGTTGGTTGGTTGGTTGGTTGGCTTGTGTGCTTCTTGGCCTTTCCTTACTCCTAGTTTGTTGCTACTCCCTCGTTGCTTGGAGGTCTAGTGTTGCGTATGCCGCCAACAGCAACAAAAAAGTCCAAAGAGGACGTCAAAGAAACAACAAAAAAAAAAGGCAGCTATGCACGGGAAGGCAGAAGAGACACTTGCACTGCGCACCACCGTCGGTTAAAGCGGGACATTCACTCGGTGTTTACGAGGAGGGGGCGCGCCTGTGAGCTCCATCCGTGGACGTTGGTCACCAAAAGTTATACCCCCCCGACAGGGGCGCCGGTTTCCACGCCTTGTTCTTTGCAAAACAAACCATGAGATTCTTGCGCTCCGTGTTGCACGTGGCGATGCGTCCCGCCAGCTTCATTTCCGCCGGGCAGTCTAAGCTGCAGTGCAGCAGCTGGGAGTTGAGAGCGTGGCATGGGTGCTTCGGATGTAGCTCCAACTTGGCAGGAGGTACTATCCGTTGATTGTACTCACGCGTCCCCTGATCCTGCCAGCCTGTGACAATTTCAAGATTACGTGCGCTGTCGTGCCTATAAATCATGTTCCGAATGACGTGGCCCCCGCTGCGGCGATTTGAATCCGCTGGCGCCTCAGGGTCCGCACTCATCGCCTCCAAACTACCCTGAAATGTAGCGTATACGCCTCGCTCGTTGCTTGTGAGGAATCGTCCCAGTGCAACAAGTGGGAGCGGAGTGCGGGTTGCTGCTGATTGTGCCCTTCAGTCTACCAGGTTGGGAGCAAATGGAACAGAGACGGCGGTACCACTGCAAGAGTAACATGCAATAATAATATACCCAACGGCGGAGCGCAAACCAGCGGCGAAGAGCCCCCCCCCCCCCCCTCCCTCCCCAAGCACACACACGCACAGAATGGAAAGAAAGCACGCAAAATATGCCTCTCACCGCTACACTGGAAAGGGGAAACGCGTCTGCCAGCGGGTATTGTACCTCCCAATGTTGCTCACCGCTCTCGAAATGCCCCGCCTCTCCTTCTCTAGAAGGAGCGTTTTCGTGGTTAGCCCCTGTCCACGTCTCTCGTTGTTCATGCCACTTGCATCCTCACGAGCCAACAGCATGCCAGTCCTGGGATTGCGCACCGCGGGCATGTATTTATAGTACTGATACGGCTGCTGCTTGCCCCACATCCACGTCGGCTGCAACCACATCTCACGCTTATTGTGCGTTGGCTGGGCTGGGCAGCGCACGCAAAGTGTGTCATGGACCCACTGAAAATGACAGTACTCGCACTGTAGCTTCAAATCGTTCCGCGAGAGCACAAGCTGGGGGTCTTTCGTTTGTCCCTGGATCTTTTTCATGTGGTGCGTTGTCTTCCCATCTAGATTATTACACGGCAGAAGCACATGTGCGTTCACTGGACCACTGCACTTTCCTAGGGGAAAAAAATTCAGTAGAACGCCAGTGGGACGCACGTAGTACAGGGGTCGTGTGGCCCTCTGCATTTACTGCCCTTGATGCAACAAGGAGTACGCCACCTGTGAGTCCCCTTTCTTTAAAGAGATAGGGTCAAGGAAAATGAAAGACGGCGCAATCAACATGACCTCAGTGGGGCAAAAGTTAAGGTAAGCATATATATATATATATATATATATATTCTACTTTAAAGGTCTTCTGGAACCCTGTCCTTCCTCCTCCGCTTCCTCAGGTATATGCTTAGTTTAAACGAAAGATGTCAACATGCTCCATCTCACAGGCGTGAATATCCCCTGCGATGATCAATGAATGAAGTGGATCACCAAAATCAACTGCTCTTAGCTCTCGCATTGTTGCAGCGACAACTTGCTGTGTCGTTGAACCCACACGTGCCAGACCAATGGCCACAGTGCTTCCATCTGCCGCTACCGCACCTCCCTTTTTCTGTTGCTCAACCTCCAATATCTGATCAATGGCTTCTGTGATGCGCATATAGCGTGATGGCTCATACACCTTGCGCCCACGCGCCAGATTTTCGTCAGAGATCTCCTTGACTTTGATGTCAAGTAGCACCAAGGTGTGGAGCCCCATCTCTCTGTTAGCCTTGAGCCTGTCGTACCATGAGTCTGGGTGCCATGAGTTTGTCCAGAAGCAAAGCGAAAGTACTTGACCAAAGCGATAGAGTTGCAGCCCACAGCAACCCACAGCATTAATGATGGAAGCGTTGTGGATGGCTCGGCAAGTAATACGCTGCTCATGACACCGCACCACCAAATCGGAGTGCGTCGTAGCTCCAAATACGTCCCCAACAACAAGCAACACGACATTTTTCTCCAAAGCATCCTGCAGCAGCTCCCCACTCTCTACCATCTCTCTGTCAGCAACCAAAACGGGTCTGTCGTAAACACTAGCGAGCTCCTCCACAGAACTATTGATGAGAAAAGATGTGTAAGCCTCCAAATATACAATGTCCGCCTCACGCACAGCTCTAAGACCTTTTAGCGTGATGTCGCTGGCATCGCCAAGACCCAATCCAACCAGTGTAAACATATGCACCTCCCTAAAGTTCAATAACCAGAGAAAAATGTGCGCCTCAATATCGTCTTGTTCCTTATTCTTCTAGAGAAAGAAAGGGCATTAAAAGGAGATGGAAGTTTGATTAAAGGCGCCTCGCATTCCAATTCGCATAAAAGCTATCAAATGCTCATCCACCAGCAAACAAGTAAATTCAAAAAACGTGTTACGACTACCGGGCATTTGTTGAAAGCAAACAAAGTGGCACTCCTTATGGCGCCCGCACCCGCCAGTATCCTCCGAGTGGATGGTAGTAGTAGTAGTAGTAAGATTAGAAAAAAAAAAAGCTAAACCTGCATTCGTTGCATTCCAACACAACAGCGTTATAAACAAAAAAGGTAGATCATACGTAAAACGAGCACAAAACAGGCTGGCCTAACAAGGCGTCCACAGATTTGTTTGGTCCCACCTGGTCGCACATTTTCTTCCAGTGCTCTCTATAACGGTGGAACAAGGACAATCTGAGGTGATACAGATCAGGGGGCAATTGGAGAGCACAAACCAGTGTTCCCCCACTCATGTGTCAAAACATGTTATATGTATTTATTCAAAAAAAAATATGTTTACTTGTCCCAGTACTTGGGCTCGGAGAGGAATGGAGCCAGTGCAAAGATCAAACCGTGAGAATAGGATTCAGCACGGTTCAAATACCCGGCTGTCAGTATTCCCATTGCGCCCTGCCCAGACCTTACATCTGTCTGTCCAGTCAGCTCATCCATCACCTCCGCCAGTTCCTTGCCTTCGTCCAGAATCTTGGACATAAGCTTTTGGCTCATCTCGAAACGTGCAGAAGAGCCTATACCGCACCTTCCAGTAGAGCGCTCTACCACGAACATCCAACCACATTCAAACCATCGATCTGAAGCTTTCTCCAGCCCCCCTTCCAGTCCAACACCATAGTGCGCCTCAGGAACAAGGCGCAGGGCTTCATGAGCGCGGTGCTGTGCACCCTGCTGCGACTCCTCGGCCGAAATGGGTTGTGCACGAACAATGGAAGCTACCGCCACAGGACGAACATCGTGCTGCTTGCTCGGAAAGCACCTACAAACAACAGCGTGAACTGAGTCCAGCTTCGCCTGATTGGTTGTACCCACTGCCCATACTATCATCGCCAACTTCCTGTGTAACTGCTAGCGGGTGGGTAGAAGAAGTTGTATTGACAGAAAACGAAGAATACAAGCATTGTATAGCAGTAAATTTGACAAGTAGCTAAAAAAAAAAATTGGTAATGTCATTCGGGTACAATCCCACAAAGATACTTTTTTTTATACCTTCCCTTTCTCAAGAAAACCATTTCCCCACTAAAAAAAAAAACTACATATATCAAAAACACCACACCCTCAGCGCAGCAGCACGCCAGTCGAACAAAATATAGAAGAAATAGAAACCCAAAATGAGAGAAAAATAAACATTGGTTACGTGTATTCAAGGATCCACCAACACACCCGCATCTAGGAACATGGTGACGGTGGCACTACTCTGCAGTACTACTTTGCCTTTGGTGTGTACTCCAAAATACCAATGCCCCCCCCCCCCCCCCCAACTCACCAGCAGCGCATAGCATATGCTGATAAGACTGTGAAGCTTGCCTGAACGGCGGATCTCATTCGATAATGAAGTTACAAAACATCCATCTGTGGATGCAAAAGGATGGCCTAGCACCATAGCGCCTTCATTCATATTAAGTTTTGAAAAATCAAACTTTTCCTTCAGCACAAGCTTCGAGCGAGCGTATCCTTCCAAGAATTCTGGTGACAGTGAAAACTTGATAGTGACAAGCACCTGTGCAGCAAACGCCTCATGAAACTCAAAAAAGTTAACATCCTTCAGTGTGGAACCTGCAATCTTCAAAGCGGAGCCTCACATAAGTACAGGAGCAAGTAAAATCTGTGGGTAGGGATCGATGGTTGAAAAGTGCCAACCTTTTAGGCTGACGTATGTAGGATATCTAATCTGCTTGGTCTTCTCCTCCGACATCAGTAGCATGGCACTGCCACCATTTGTCAACCCGTTTGATGTCATGGGGCGATGATGCCATCTGATGTTCGAAATGCCGGTTTCAATGTTGGTAGCCTTGTTTACATCTTTTAAAGATTGCCCTGAACGTATTCGTCCTTGACAAACTCAACAGTCTGTTCATTCCTCGTCGCAGTTACTGGGACAATTTCATTCAGCATGTACTCTTCCCTTTTGGCCTCAGTTGCGTTTTTGTGCGAATCAATTACAAGAGCCTCTTGATTTTCCCGCGCAATGTTTTTGAGCTCCCCAATTAAGTTCGTGTGTCATCCCATTGTCCCGCCGGTGTTTCACTTCTCTGGAACCAGGGGTTTTGGCAGCCAGCCTAGAGAATTGTATCCGGTCTCTTTCAAAAACTCATGGATCACTGCAACGCCCCCATTATTACCCTTGGTGAGCTTTACCGGCCCGTACGCAAGCGTAGATGGCATCATTATTGGAGCATTACTCAGACTGTCGCTCCCTCCAGCGATTACAATGTCAACATGACTACTCTCGATCATAACCATCACCTGTGTCATGGCGTTCAATCATATCACACAGACCATTCTGGTAAGTTGTGATCTTCTCAGGGAGGTTCAGATCTATAATAATATATCGAGCGTGGTTGCAAGCATTAAGATGCAAAACGACACTGTCCCAGATAATGTGGTCCACCTCATTGGGTTGCAGTTTGGTCTCTCTCAGAAGGACCCCGACGGCAGCAGTGCCCAACTACACGTTATCCACCGTCAGAAAAGATTCAAACGATTTCGCAAAGGGTATTCGTGCACTCGTCACGAAGACTGCTTGCTGCTTTAGAAACACTTGAGCACTCCACACATTGTACTGTTTTCACATCATATGGTGGGAACCTATTCAAACAAAGAGTACTGTAGTAAGAAAAGGTATAAAAGAAGCCTGGTGATTGTGGCTCACAGCTACTGTTTATCTTTCAACGTGGAAAGATGAACAGTAAACACAGTGACCACCAGAAGCCGTACATGGGAGAGTGGCCAAAGACATCACTTACCATGACAAAAACGATACCCAGGCTGAACCAAATAAGTCTTGTGTGCATGTATGAATAAAAAGAGTTTTCAATACCCTAGGAAACTCCAAAGTTTGGGAATTAGGTTCTTCCGCGCCATATTGCAAGGCAGGTTGTGTATTCAAAAAAGCCCAATGACCGACACAAACACGAAGATAAAATAGCACTGGACCCCCAAGGCACCTACATCCTCAATACTGCAAATAAGTACCAATAAAAAAATTTAAGGAAAGAGTTACTGGGAAAATTGCCACACATAAGAAACTTGGAAAAAATAGGGAAAAAGTCATTCCTATAGACAACTCAAAACCAAAAAATCGTACACTCTAGCGCCCGAACAGGGGGGGGGGGGGGCAAAAAAAAACAAGAAACACCTGGAGTCACAACAAAACCAACAATAACAAACACCACGCGGCCAACCATAGTTCACACGCGAGTATCACAATAAGAAACCATCGCCCCCGTACACACCCCATTGCGCCACCGGCGCAGCGGCATCACAAAGCGACAGAACCATCCCAGACGCGCACGCGCCCCACAACCACACCCCACACAAAAACACCCCACCCACCAACCCACACGGCGCACGAAAGACGTTGAAACACACAAAACAACATGTATCTGAAACACCCTCGAGGCCCAGACAGCCCAAAGGGCATCCACGCAGGCCTTTTAGGGCCGAATTCTGCCACCGCCTTCCCGGGCGTCGATAGCATTCGAGCGCGCCCGGACTGCGCCCCCGCCGCAGGAACCAGCGACGAAGCCTGTATCATTGCGTGCGCCCGGCTCTTCTGCAGCCGTTCCTCCGGACTTCCGTGTTTTCGACTTGTGGCGCGGCGCTTCGCCGCCCCCTTCGGGGCTCCCGCCCCCTGCGCCCGAGGGGCACCACCCGTGCCGGCGCCCCACCGCCGCTTCGCCTGCGGCGCGGGCGAAAAAAAAAGGATAGCACCCCTCATTTTCGCACTGCTGGTGCAGGGCTGGTGCTTTACCCTGTAGTCGTTTCGGTTGGTGAGAAAGGGGGGGTGCGTAGCGTTGCGCGCTGGCTGGTAGGGGGTACCGCCCGGCCGCCCCGCCTGCTGCGGCGGATG